ACTATGCTGCATTGAAAAACAAGGAACTCATGCAATATTATTCAAAATGGGTGACCCTGGAGGACATTATGCTGAGTGAGGTATCTCAGTCACAAAGGGAAATATGTTTACGGCACTGAGTAGAGTTTTTTAAGAAGCAGAATAGACACACACACAGAGGGAAGACAGACACACAGAGGAGAGATGCCATGTGAAGATGGTAGAAACAAGAGCCCAGGAATGCAAAGGATTTCCAATATAACTAAAAGCTGAAAGAGACAAAGAGACCCTTCCTCTAAAGACAATACTCTAAATTAATCCTGCTGAAGATTATCCAAACTGGAACAGAACATTGACAGAGAACCACCAGAAATACAAGCTGGGTTTAGAAGAGGTTGTAGCACTAGAGACTTTATTGCCAAAGTCATATCTTGGCAGAAAGCAAATAGTACCATAGGAATATCTACCTATGTTTTGTTGATTATGCAATGGCATTTGTGTGGCTAATCTTGAGGAAAATGGGAGTCCCAGAACACTTGACTGTGCTTATGTGAAACCTTTACTTGAACCAGGAAGCAGTCCTCAGAACAGAACAAGAAAATACTGCATGGTTCAAAATCAGGAAAGGGGTGCATCTGGGATGCATCCTGTCTCCATACCTTTGCAATCTATATGCAGAGCAGATCATTTGGGAAGCAGGGCTTTCTGAGGAGGAATGTGGCATCAGAACTGGAGAAAGAGTCATCAACAAACTATCTTATGCAAATGACATAACCTTGCTTGCTGAAACTAAAGAAGACCTGAATCACTTCCTGCAGAAGGTCAAGGTCTGGAGTCTTCAATATGGATTGAAGCTCAACATTAAAAAAAAAAAATTAAAAAAATAAAAAAACAGGTTCTCACTCCTGGACCAATTGGCAGCACCATGGATGGATGGAGAAGAGATTGATGTTGTTAACAATTACAGCTTGCTCTTGGCACCAGCAGTCAGGAAATCTGGAGACAAATTGCACTGGAAAAATCTTCTGTCAGGGAACTTTCCAGAGTAAAAGTGACTATGTCAGTCTAGAGACTACGGTGTGCCTAATCCAGGCTTTGATTTCTGCAATTACTTGTTATGCATCAGAAAGCTGAACAATGACTAAGGATGATAGAAGAATTGATGCCTTTGTGTTGTGGCACTGGAGAAGAGCTTTGAACATACCATGGCCCACCAAGAAAACAAATGGGTCTCTCTTGGAGAGAGTGAAACCAAGTTTCCTCTTGAAGGCTAGAATTTTGAAGTTTTGTCTCACATACCTTGGGCACCTGGCTGAGATCCTTGCAGAAGGACATCACGCACAGTTTAGTGAAAGGATAGTGCAGGAGAGAAAGACCCCAGATGAAAGGGATTATTATAGTAATTGGGGCAGCGGGGGTTGGTGTGTCAGATTTAGTGAGACTGGCTCAGGACAGGACAGGCTTCAGAGCTGCTGTACACAGGGTTGTGATAGACTGCAGGCAACTCAACAGCTCATAACAACAACTACAATAATCTCTAAAACTATGAAAAGGAAATTTCTGTTCTCTAAAGCTATCCACTTGTGGCATTTTTTGTTATATTATTAGCAAACTAGGACATTATGTATATACTATATATAATGCATTTTACCCATCTGTATAACCTCAGTTAAATTTCATTTAAATCTGCAATGTAAATATTATTGTTTCCCTTTAGGATCTTCATATACATGCAAAAGTTAAATTGGTAAGTGTTGTGCAATGTATATCTTCACTCCAACTAAAACATTTTTAAAACCCCCAAAGACTTAACCACTGAGGTTAGTTTTGTAAAGGCAAAGACTTCATGGAATTTGATATCTTGTTAAAAGGTTTAAGGTCATGGTTGCTTCAAACATTCCAGTCAAGTGATCTTATTCATGCTTAGTGCTTCTGGTACACTTTCTAGTTCCTTATGTCTTCAAAGTCTTAAGACAGTAAAAACCCAAAGTCTTAAGATTTAAAGGGTCTTAAAAGCTTGCAAGTAGACATACAAAATTCAACAGTTGGTCTCTATTTGCCTAGAACAGTAGAAGAAGGAGAAACTGGCATAGGAAGAGGAAATGGAATGTGTGACTCAGTGACACTCATGACCAGCTGTCTTCTTTGCTGTAATCCTAAAGCACTGGACGGTGCTAAGTTACCACTATGAGAGACTCCTGATCAAAAGATGCCGAAGTGGGGAGGGGTAAGAAAATGCAGAACAGAATTTCAAATTCTAATGGAATCCAGTTTTCCAGAATCCTTAGAAACTAGATGAACTCTCAAAACTTTTGCCCTGATATAATTTTTAAATCTGAAACTAAAAGTATCCCCTGCATCTTTCTAAACCAAACATTTTCATTTGATTGGTAAAGAATGCCTGCCTTTTTTCTCTCTCTTTGAATAACTTTCTGTAGAAGTAATTCCAATAGTTAGGAAATTTCACAAGCAGTTAAGTTGTTTGTTTACTTTTAATGAAACAGGAACAATTCAGAAAAGGACAAGAAAGTGGTTACACAACTTGAAAAATGAAATTGACATCAATGAATTATTGTACATGTAGAAACTGTTACATTGATGTCTTCTGTGCATAGTTTCAAAAATAAAAAAGAAAATGAACTCTTTTTTAAAAAAATCTGAATGTCAGAAAGGTTAAGTCATTTTTCCAATATTACACATCTATCTGGTAAGGAACAGCCAAAACTCAACTCCAGCTATCTAACTTTAAAATCCACACTTTCCCACTATGACTTGCTACTTCAGCTCACATAAACTTTGTCAAAGAGACAGATGTTCTCCTTAATCTTTCTTAAAAAGCATCTTCAAATGCGGAAAAGTAAGGCCAAAACACTTCACTAATTCCCAAAATCCTGTTGTGGTTTAATCAATTAAACTAATCAATGTAGGCAAAGTGTTTGTAAAAAGCCAGTGCAGCTCTTTGAATCTCAGGTGCTCTGTCAGAGTTCTGAAGTTTGGATATGGAAAACTTCAGAGTTTTTATTTCCTGCAACAGCTGCTAATAAGCATGTCAAGAAGATCAGAAGTCCTTCTTTGAGAGAAGTTTCTGGACTTCTCTGAACTGACAGGATAGTAGAAAAACATACAGCACGGAACTGTCTCTCCTATCAAAAAGAGAAAGGAAAAAAATAACCTTAACTTTCTAAATACTTCTCAGCAATTATTTAATAAACCTACTGAAGAGAAAAATTACATTTTTTATTTGAAATTAAATAAGGAGGGAGCTGATGGAAAAGCATAGAGACAGCACTACTAAACTGGCATATAATTCTTCTGTTTGTTCATTTATTTAAAAAGAAAGCCTGTTAATTGCCTCAGAATTATCTAAAAAGCAAAGCTGAGTCTGTAATGGAAGATTAAGAGGCCAGAATAGGAAGAAGCCTAAGTTTTCCCAAATTAATATTGATTAACAATTAAAAGCGGCTATCACAGTTTTCTTTCAGAATTATAACTTGATCATAAATCTCGAACAGCCATCCAGAGGAAAAATAATTTGCACCAGTAACAAAATTATGGATGTGTACAGTTCTGACACAAAGTTAGCAAAGAGTTCACATGAAGAATGAATCACAGAGTAACTGAACAGCATGCAGTTTATTATGTGTAATGGAGAGAGGAAAAGTTACAAAATATAAAGGCAGTAGATGGGAAAGCCTAAAGGCAGACTGCTGTGAGGATTGGCATTCAATTCTGTTATTTTAAATCTTGCTTGCATGCTTATATCAGAGCATAATTTTTGGTATACTTTTCCAACCATTATTATTCATCTTCTTTGCTCTTTTTCCATCCCTATCTTCCCCAGTCAAAAATGGTGTATCAATTAAGTTTTTCCTAACAAACTACTTCAAATCTTTGCAGCTTAAAATAATAGTCATTTATTGAGCTCATAATTCTGCGGAGAGGTCCCCAATTTTTGTTGAGCTCAGAGGTTGTTTGTTTGTTTGTTTCTGATCTCGTCTTAGTTCATTCAGAGTGCTTCTTAACTAAGTGACTGTTGTTAAGGCACCTGATGTCAGTCAAGTTTAAAGGACATCTAGACTATCCTCACCCGGCAAGCTCACATAGGTTTATTCTTGGATGGCTTAGTATAAAGTTCTCAGAGTAAGAGCAAAAATTAGTAAAGCCCCTTGAAGAGTAAGCTCAGAACTGGGATAATGTCACTTCCACCACATACTATTGATCAGAACAGATCACAACATTAACCCAGATTTAAGGGGCAGTAAAAGAGACATTATTTATTTAGGAGGAGTTGTAAAGTTAGGATGTAAAAGGATAATGGACTCAGTGTCAAATAATTGCGGATCTTTTTCCAAGGGAAAATCCCCACATGTGCAGTTGGGGCCACTGTTCTTGTTTGTTTGCCTGCACTCCTGCCTCTATCTACAATCACTTCCCTAGATCTCTGAAAGTCTTGCTTCTTGGCCATTTCTGCCAAACTCTATTGAAACGATATGGCCAACAAAGTTTTGTACAGCTACCTCTAGCTGTTTACCTTTTTCCTCAATAGAAAATATCTTCCTGAAACAGGAATAATAACATTAGGAAAACAAAAGATTCCCAAAGGTTTAAGAATTCAGTCTTTTTTTTTTCTAATTTAGCAATACCGTTTTCATAGAGTTCAAGACTCAAATCACTCCTAAATTCTTGAAATATCATTTATTTTTCATATCTTCACATTTACTTTTAAATTGTTTTTAATACTGCTGGAAATCATTAAACAGTAAGCCATGGAAGCTCTCTGAAGGAATCCAATAATGCTTTTACCATTCTTACCAGAAAAAAAAAGTTAAGTTTCCCCTTAAAAAGAAAGACCCAAAACAACTATGAGATATCATCTCACCCCAGTCAGAATAGAAAAATTTAACAGAACAGCAAGCAACAAATGCTGGCGAGGTTGTGGAGAAACTGGAACCCTTATTCACTATTGGTGGAAGTGTAAAATGGTGCAACCACTGTGGAAGGCGGTATGACACTTTCTCAAAAAGTTGCAAATAGAAATACCATTTGACACAGCAACTCCACTACTGGAAATATACCCCAGAGACCATAACTGAAATCCAAGCAGATATATGCCCACCCATGTTTATTGCGGCTTTGTTCACAATAGCAAGGAGTTGGAAACAACCTAAGTGCCCATCCACAAACAAATGGATAGAGAAGCTGTGGTATATTCACACAATGGAATACTACACTGCATTGAAAAACAAGGAACTCATGCAATATTATTCAAAATGGGTGACCCTGGAGGACATTATGCTGAGTGAAGTATCTCAGTCACAAAAGGACAAATACTACATGGTGCCACTGTTGTAAAACAGGAATGACACTGGGGTTGGGAGGAGACTAAGAAAGATTGGTTAAATAACGTATACTGCATTGAAACAGATGAGGGAGGAAACTGTTTAAAGCGGATAATATGTGATTAGATATTTTTGTCATGACCGCAGTCCAGAGCAAAGGCTGCATAGTGGAGTGGAGGTAGAGGGAGGGATTGTAAAACAATGAAAGAATTTTTCTTTTACTTTTCCATGAGGGTAGTGTACTGGGGAGAGGAGAATGAGAGGGGAGAAAAGTGCAACAATGAATTAATGGAAATCCAAAGTCTCTGTAAATTTTCATTGAAATTAATAATAAATTGAAAAAAATAGACCATTGCTGAGATTATTTCTTTTCAAGGTCCAAATTTTGCCCATTATCTTCAGGAAGATCTTTAAGATTGATGTGTTCCTGACACTCAAAATCCTCCAGGGGCCACTTGCTACTCTGATAAACCAAGATGCTATCTGAAAACAAATTATTTTTAAAAAAACACTCATTGCTACTATGCAGTGCCATTTTTCACATCCTTAAATTTATTTAGGGATGTTCCAAGTCCCATGTCTTCTATCTTTCTTGCATTCAGAGTTTCAAGAAAGGAGATCACCCTCAGCTCAAAGCTGAGGTTTTTGCTGGGAAATTCAGCTGCTTCAGGTCTCCACAAATATTTAAGGATCTGGCCTAGTGGCAAGAAGCTATACGACAATCTTGAAAGTATGCGGTTTGAGGCCACAAGCTGCTCCACGGAAGAGGCATAGGCAATCTCTGTGAGATAAACTACCTCTCAAAACCCCTGGAGGGTCAGCTATGGGCCACTTCTGACTCTACAGTACACAGCAACAAAAAAATGCTGTAAGTGCACACACCAAGTTTCTATCATTCAAATATTAATAGAAATTACCAGTTTAAAAGACTGGTCGGCTTCTTCCACAATATTTCTTCATCTCCTTTGCCACATGTTACTATTTTTCTTCTTGTTTCAAAGAAAGAAGCAGTATCTTACTTTTAAAGACCCATCTCACTAGTCTCTGCCTCACCCCATATATTCTACAAATGCAATAATCATCAGTATTTTTTAAGCTTCCTCTTCTCAGCATTTTCATTACAACTCCTTAAGTCCAAGCCCTTGACCTACACACCTAGTCAAGAATTCTTATCTCTAAAAGAAATCTTCTTTCAAACCACCTACTTCTCCTTTCCTGCAGCCTTTATATCCTTCAAGACAGCAATTTTATCAGCTACTATTGACTCTTTATCCCATCATAATCAATCTTGGATCCCTACCACATCAGTGAGCTAACAAAAGTCAAATTAAGCAATCTTTTTCTTAGTCTTTTCATGTGTCTGCTCAACAGTATTTTTCACCCCTAATAAGAGTTTCTTTAAACTCTTCCTTAGACAGTATTTTATTCTAATTCTATTCTTTATCTATTTTCTGTTCTCTCCAAGAGACATTTCCTTCTCCATACACATGCAGATCTCTTTTTATTCCCTTCTCTCATTCACCTCACTGGACATCTTATAAAAGATGGCACATAAGTTTTTGAAATCTTCTCTCTTTTTTATCATTATTAATTTTAGTGAAAGTTTACAGAGACTTAGGGTTTCCATCATTCATTGTTGCATTTTTCTCCCTGCCCAACCCTTCTCCCCCAATTCACTCTTTTCCTTTAAAAAAGAAAAAGAAAAACTCTTTCATTGTTATGCAATCTCTCCCCCCAAGTCCACTCTACTGTGCAGCTTTCATTCTGGATTCCTGTCTGAAAATAATACCCAATCATATATCTCGTTTAAACCGTTCTCTTCCTCATCTCTTTCAGTGCAGTATATCATTCACCCTCTCCTTCTCTGTCTTTCCTCAACCTTGATGTCAGTCCCATTTTATAACAGTGGCCCTAGATAATATTGTCCTTTTGTGACTGAGATGTTTCACTCAGCATAATGTCCTCCAGGATCACCCACTTTGTATAATATTTCATGAGTTACTTGTTTTTATTTTTTTTTATTTTATTGGTTTTTGTGTGTACAGTCAAATCGGATCTGACTGGTACAGGAGGAAATTGTCCCCCCTTCTCCAGCAAAGCATCTGGTGGATTCAAACCATGCACCTCTGAGATTGCAGAGCAGCTTCCTGCCACTAGGCCACCAGAGCTCCCTGAGTTTCTTTTTTTTTAAAAAAAATGCTCCATAGTATTCCATTGTGTAAATAGACCAGAGCTTCTGTATTCATTCATTTGTTGATGGGAAATTCTGTGTTTCCAACTCTTTGTTATGGTTTCTTTAGGGTACATTGCCAGTAGTGGAATTGCTGAGTCAAATGGTATTTCTATTTGCAACTTTTTGAGAAAGCACCATACTGCCTGTGGTTGCTCCATTTTATACTCCCATCAACTGTGAATAATGGTTCCAGTTTCTCCACAACCTCATCAGCATTTATGGTTTGCTGTTCTGTTAAATTTTGCTATTTTTACTGGGATGTGATGATACCTCATAGTTGCTTTGATTTGCATCTCTCTTGGAGCAAGGGATTTTCAGCATTTCTTCATGTGCTTCTTGGCCATCTGAATGTCTTGTTTGGTGAAGTGTCTGTTCATATCTTGTACCCATTTTTCAATTGGGTTATTTATCTTTATCTTGTTGTGATGTTCAAGTATTATATAAATTCCCTTGTCATTACCAAATATTTTTCCCAATCTTTGACTTCCCTTTTTATTCTTTTGGAGAAGATTTTGATGTGCATAGGGATTTGATTCTTAGAAGGTCTCATTCATCTACGTTATCCTCTTCTGGATGTAGATTTTTCAGGATGCTTAGAAGAGTGCTTATGTTGTGGATTAGGACTTCTAGATTTCTTCTAAATTTTTCTTTAATGAAGTTTATTGTCCTTGGTTTTAGTCGTAGGTCCATAATCCACTTTGAATTGGTTTTTGTATATGGAGTGAGATAGGGATCTTGCTTGAGATTTTTGCAGATAGTTTTTCAATTTTACCAGCACCATTGTTAAAGAGGCTATCATTTCCCCACTGATTTCATCTCCTTGTCAAAAATCAGTTGACCATAGGTAGATGGGCTGATTTCTGGATTATCAGTTCTATTCCATTGATCTATGTGTCTGTCATTGTACCAATACCACTCTGTCTTGACCACCACAGCAGTGTAGTAGGATTTGAAATCAGGGAGTGAGATGTCTCCTACCTTGTTTCTCTTTTTAAGGAGGGCTTTCCTTATTCTGGGCCTCTTTCAATTCTAAATGAGATTGGCGGTTGCCTTTTCCATCTCACTGAAGCATGGAATTGATATTTATATTGGAATTACATTGAATGTCATTGTCATTTTCCCAATATTGAGTCTTCCTATCCATGAGTCAGGGATATTTTTCCCCTTCTCCAGGTCTCTTTTTGTTTCTAGTAATAATATTTTGTAATTTTCTTTGAATAGATCTTTTGTGCTTGTGGTTAGGTTTATTCCTAAGTATTTAATCTTGTGATTAGCTATTGTAATGGGTATTGTTTTTCTTAGCTCCAGTTCTGTATTCCCTTTGTCACTGTAGAGAAATCCAATTGGTTTTTGAATGTTGATCTTGTGTCCTGCCACTTTGCTGAACTGGTCAACTATGTCCAGCAGTTTTCTTGCTGATTGCTTAGGGTTTTCTGAGTATACTATCATATCATCTGCATAGAGAGATAATTTTACCTCTTCTTTGCCAATTTGGATACATCTGATTTCCCTCTCTTGCCTTATTGTTATCAGTAAGACTTTCAATTCATTATTGAATAGGAGAGGTGTTACGGGGAATCCTTGCCCAGTTTCTATTTTCAGAGGAAATGCCTTTAATTTCTCTCCGTTGAGAACAATGTTTACTCTTGGGTTTGTGTATATACTTTTAACTATGTTGAAGAAATTCCCTTCTACTCCTATTTTGTTGAGTGTTTGAATCAGAAAAGGGTGTTGGGTTTTGTCATAGGCTGTTTCTGCATCAATTGATAGGATCATGTGGTTCTTGTGCTTTGCTTCGGAAATGTGATGAATTAAATTGATTGTTTTTCTTATGTTGAACCATCATTGCATACTTTTTATGAATCCAGCTTAGTCATGGTGAATTAATTTTTTTAAATGTATTATTGGATTCTATTGGCCAGAATTTTATTCCATATTTTCACATCTAAGTTCATGAGAGTTATTGGCCTATAGTTTTCTATTTT